TCTGGATTCATATAATATGATGTTGAATTTAAATTCAAAGTCGTCTATAAAAGTTTCAAAACAAATGTCACCAATGGGAAGACTTTCTACCAAAAACTAATTACAAGGTAAGTTTACGATACACCATTGATCACAATCACAAACTATTGTCAGTAATTTGTTAATGTATCGTTTAGGTATTGTTTATATTTTTTTTTTTAGTTTAGAATTAAAAATGCAATTAGAAGTGTATTGGTTAACTATGATTTTTTTGTGTAGAAATATTACTAGCAGTAAAAAACATAGCATAAAACGGACAATCTTAAAATAATTTAATTAATTAATGTAAATCTTTCTGGTAATACTTCGAACGGATAAATTTTTGATTTTCTCGATAGTTTCCTTTGGAGTGTAAACAATTAAAAAAAAAATCAACCAAATTGTATAAACTGTCAATCATAAGAGGAGAAATTATTAATATACTCATATAAAATGTGGGTATAAGTTATAACTAAGGTTCTCAAAGAATTCTTTCTGAATAATTTACCATTTCTTTTGAATTTGTTGTAATACATAATAATATCTTTAACTGAGATGACTCTTGACTCTTGACGAGTTCAGCACTTCACCGAGTGTCTCTATATAATGTCGGTATTTTTTAAAAATAAATAATTATAATATTTGTTCATATTAATACACATTTTGCTTCTTGGAAATTTTTGTCTGGAATATTAATTTACTATAAATCTGAAATAATATACGATTTATTCAGTATTGATATACATTATAAACATTTGTGATTATAATTTATTTCTCGAGTTAAAATGTATTATTACTTTATAAGATGAATTAATCGCCCCACATGCACATATTTAGTAGTTCCATGAATAATTAAATGAATACATTGATCTTCAAAGCTATTTTGTCTTTTAGATTAAAAAAAAATAATTAAGTACTAAAATCATTTAAAATGATTTCAATGCATTACTATTGGAGTAATAAAATTGGTTTCATTGAAGCAAAATACAATTATTTGAATATAAAACTAAAATAAAGTTTAAGCTAATTAATATTAAAAGCAATGGCAATATCTATAAAAAAAAGTATACTTTTCCAAGACTTTAGTAAAGATGTGTGTAAATTAAAAAAGTATATGATATACATTGTATACCTAGGTTATATTTTTAATGATATTATCTTAAAAAATATATGATAACCGTATTATATAATTTTATCTTACATAATTCAAATTAGTAAGTATCTACTAATATCATATATTCTTATCACCCTCATATACTTATTTTTGCTTATTCTGTTTACCATTTTTAGCAATGAACATAATATGTTTTAAAATGATGTAGTTTTTTACTATATGTATATGCATATTTGTTACATATATTTTTACTCACCATTTAGACTTTTAGAGTGTCAAAAAATGCTTCAATTTTAACTTCAAGAGAGGTTTCTTGTAACAAAATGGCTATAGTATTTTAAAAATAATTATTATAAACCAACAAAAAAACAATGGATAAACAGGAATTTAAAAAACAACAGTTTTCGATGAAATTGATTTTGTTGTTTCGTTGTAATAAAAATATGAATACGGCAAAGATAGCTACTTAAAATGTTCACGAAACATGTTTATTGGCATTTTCTATACAAGATAAAAATTTTAAATATTTTACCCCTTTTTGTGGTATTCAGGTACATATGTTCTACTATTTTTTAGAACCATGTTGATAATTTTATTATTTTGTTTGAAATTAAAAAAGCCTGAGAATTGAATAGAACTTTCCTAGTAAGCTTTTCATTTAGTAATTGAAAAAAAATACATGTTAACAATTCTTTATAGTTCTTTGGAATTGTTGGAAAAGTTTGTTAAAATTATGATCGTTTGCAAATCATTTTGTGATCATTGTATTCATAATTTTAATAGTTTAGGCTTACAAAATGTAAAATGAGATTTGCGTTAAATTTTTATGAGTGTTTGAAGGTATAAAATTTTAATAAAATTAGAATTTCATACATAAAATAAAAATTTCTTCTTAATCAATTTTTGTTATTAAAAAAATATTATTGTTAGAAACATTCCAAAATATTATTAAAATTATCTTTTTCGTACACAATAGCAGTTTAAATATATTTAGACTAATTTAAAGCTAATATTTTGATACTACGAATCTATTTCACACTGTCGTTCTACGGTAATTATTATATAGTTTTTGTTGTTGTTTTAATATCAAAAAAGTTTGCATAGGTATAAAACGATGATCTCTATTCTCTGGTCAATTTAAAACAAAATATTATGACGATCGCTAATAAAATCATACCACGTAACATAATATATTTTCAAAATATTCACATAATGGATCATAGACGAATCAAAGAATTTTTCCTTTCTTGCGTCTACCGCGTAGTTTTGTTTTTTAATTGCCTCACGTGACTTCTACCTATATATTATATATATATAGACGCCCTATGTGTAATATATAGGTATAGGTATACACTGTGTGTGCAATATATGTACGACGGTGTTGTATAATACCCTATAATGTATAGTTAAAAGATCATTGCACTGGTATTTTCGCTCCTCTTACAAGTTTGATTTTCCCCTATATAATGCGAGCTTACGAGCTTACGGTAATCCGCACCGGTGCAGTCAACCAGTTATATAGGCTTAATAATTGTCGAAACGTGATCGAAAAACATAGTACGCACGTGCAGTAGAAGTCCACAATATTAGTGTGTGTTGCGGCGACGTGATTTACAATGTACAATACCTATTACAATAACATCACAATAATAATATTGTCCGCGATGAGTATATCATTATGATGGGTGACGAATCGAATCGGAGGTGTGCGATCATCGCCGTATATTATTACGGTAAGTATACCTGCGCAGATACCTGACGTCATAACGATAACCACTTGGGTTACCAAAACGTTTAAACCGCGTTCCGCAGGCACGATATAAGTATTATAATGGTGCTCACAATATTATTATTATTATTATATATAGTTTCTGCGTTCCGTCAAAGTTTAATGCACATCGGTATATCATAAACTTTCATCCGGGCATAATATATATTTCACGAATACGGCAGTGTTTCGAAATGATATATTATTATTATCATTCCGCGAAAAATGATTCCAACAATACTCGCGAATTCTCGGTAAACAACGCATAATACCGTTGTAAATCCATAGCATACAGTTTCTACTGGAGCCTCAGAACAAAATGGTTGTTAAATGCCGCACTGTGTATTCTTGCTGACGATGGCGTTCGAAAATCAATAATAATAATATATCGAATAGGTGTATAATGTTTGCTCGCGTTTAGAAAGTATTAAAGGACCTATTGTAGTACATGTTTTTAGTGCTTTCAATATTTTACGTACAACGTTATGAACGATTTATACTGCAAACAATCGACCGAGAAGTAAAATACAATTAATGATATATTATATTAAAAGATTATGTCGCTCGTAAAGCGATAACATTTTTAACAGCCGTTGATTTTTCATTTATTTTACTTTTTTACTTTTTACTTTTTCAACCTGATACGCAACACTAAAAAATATCCAAATAATTAATATACATCATATTTATTTAATGCCTATTGCTTGATATTAGTTGGCAATAATCGATAAATGAAAGTGCCACTATAATGAGTGACTTCTTTTTTCAAATTATTTCATGATTTTATTCGCCTTCAATATATTTCATCATAAACAATATAAACATCTTTAAGTAGGTACTGTATAGATACGTTTTATATATTATGTACACCGTATAGTGCTGGATCTAAAAATTTTTTTGTACCCTGGGAAAAATACGAAATTGGCCTTCCTTATATAAAATTCTCTATATTTTAATATTCAATTCATATACATACTATATATTGCTTTACCATCTTATATTATAATATTGTATATTGACTTTCTTATAATATGTTTTAAAATTAAAGTAAAATAATTACTAAACACATTTCAACGAAAAAAAAGCCATTAGTATAACAATTAATTCTTTAATAAATAAATAAAGTGGGAAAATGGGTACTGATCTGCTGTACATTAGGATGGGTCACTGTAATTTACGTGTTAAATTCTAATTCAACGATATCAAAATTATTCTAAGCAAAGACGATTTGTCAGCCTATATTACTAAGTATATGTACGATTTATGGATATATTTTTATAAATTGTCTTATATAGATTAAATTTAAATTACAGTTTAATAATTGTGGAAGAAGAAAATCTCGAAATCAAGCTTGTGAATAGATTTATTATAATACCTTTTTTTAAGAAAACCCCATTTTTAATGTTTTTTTAAACCTTTTTTGGAAGATTTATACAGCTTTAAAGCTTTTTTTAATGCTTTTCTTTAGTTTTTTATTGCTTTAAAATAAGTTCTCTAGTGATATCCAACAGTAAACATTTTACCAGTGAGCATGAGAATGCCACCATACACGTTCCAAGGTTGTGGATAGGGGGGATACAAGTATCGGCTAAATAATGTATACCTTTGGGATGGACAAAAAGCGGTTAAGGAAAAGGTCACCAACGGGAGTTATCGACCCTATCAAGAGAAACGTCACGAAAACAGTCAGACGACGCGGGACTGGAGTCAGCGATGGAAACCAAGTTAGCCCTTAAATATGATATGAATACAACAAAAGCAAAAAAAGATACTTATTCGTGGAAGACTATGAGGTGGCAGTTGGAAGTAGGTCCCAAGAGTTGACATCAGTTTGTCACACACTCACACCCCAGAAGCCGGGGTGACACCAGCCAGACACGTCCTACAACCGCTATAGTTACTAGCACTGAGACAGACATACCCAGAGGCGTCTTCAGGTCAAAGAACAGAGATCCAAAGGGGGAGGAGGGGCAAACAATTTTAGTCTTGAATACCGCTTTTAATCATTAACAAAATTAATAAAATGTATTTATCTATTAGCAAAAACAGAACATCTCACGAATTACGAGGGGCGATAGCCTCCATCTCTCAACGCCTCTAATGGCTGCGCCTGTATATATCCTTAGTGGACATCTGGCACGCCATCCTGAAAAAAGACAAGGTCGAAGGACCTTACCAGATAAGAGTAATGAAGTATCCAAAATTCCAAACCCTATAGTAAAAGATAAAATATTTGCATCTGGAGCTTTAAGTGCTGTAGAAGCCTTCTGGTCTCTATGTCATGAAAATATTAGTTGGATTGTGTTGGAAGAGGAGTCCTGTGGAAACTATTGAAAGAGATGCAACGACAGTCTGAGTTCCTAGACAAATCAGTACAGGCCGCTAGTAACACCAGAAGCTCTCAGAAGCACTAGGTAATACCTTTAGTAAATTCTAAAGGACAGTGCATATCCCTATGATTGGATTTAAGCCTCGATGGTTCAGCATCAGCAGCAATAACACAAGTAAAACTGGACGTTTAGATGTTTGAGATTATTATAGTTATTCAGGAAACTCAGGTAGTTTTAGAATACCAACAAGCAAAGAGTTGCTCTAAAAAACCAGCACCAGCAAAAGACTAAAGAGTCTATCTAACGTCTACAAACGGCACAGAAAGACATTCATTGGCGCAAATAGGGGGGGCAGGGAATATAAGCCCCCCCAAATTCCAAACACTATTTAAGCCTATGCCGACATCTACGGTCCCAAGAATAAATTGATGCATTGAAACTTCAGCAACGACGTATTCATCAGTAGATCAGGGATCAGTTTATCTCCATATTCGTCTGCACAAAATGTCCAACAAAGTCTATAGAAGACCAGGACGAAAATCAAGGTTTGCATTAGCTCTTCAATGCACGTAGCAGTCTTTTTTTTATTATTATTCTAGCTGATCCCGTGCACTTCGTTGCCCGTTGAATGTACCAAATCTATATTTGTTCATTTGGTTATTTATTATTCGGTGTTTAGTGTTCAAAATTTATCTTAACTTTTCTGTTTCCCTGAATAAAAATTCTGATTCTCAGCAGTACATTATCAGGTAGGCAATATACCTGAAGTAGATCGCGGACCCCGTGCTGTTTGTAAGTAAGTGTTTGATTTAACTCTAAAGTATCAAAGTTATACCAAGTTTGTCGTTTTTAATTAATTCCACCTACGGTGGGGATTAATATAATCAATGAATACAAAATCCTAACCTAACCTGACCGTACTAAAATCCGATAAATAAAAAAAAAAACAAATTTAACCCTTTTTAAATTAGTCTATTTTCTTCCCAGAGGTCTAACCTATCTTTGTATTAAATGATTCTATGTACTTCGTTGCCCAGCAACCATTAATGATCCAGTGCATTTCGTTGCCCGGAAATCAATAATAAAAATAAAATAAAATAATAAAAAATAATTATTATAATAGCTTCAAAACCCATGGTAAACATGGCAACCAAAGAACATACCCACAGATAGACAAACATTCTATATTATCTCCTGGGGTTGGTTGCCATGGTAATATGGAGAAACATACGGACGGAAATCTCATAATAATATATACGGTTGCCATGGTAATATGGACACACACACACACACATACACACATATACATTCATCCTATAATTCATTCTAATTGGAGGAATATAAAAGGTTTCTTGCCTGTTGTTTCCAATTCTCATTATTATAATATTATTTGCTCGTATTGTCATATTCGGGTGATAGCTCAAATCCGAAGCATTTATCGTAGTATTTTTTGTAAATGATTTGTTTGCAAACTGCTTGAATTGTGATTTTATTTTTAACAGCATTATTTTTACATTTCCATTAAAAGATGTATTAAGAGATCATGGCATGATTTTCTTGTTGCCGAAGGTCGTGTGTCACTACTCACTACTCATGGAAACCACGATAGCTTGACGACTATTGAATAAACGGTACTTGTTATTTTATAATGCGCAAAGGTTTACATTTACATTTTGTAAAGATTCACACTTAGTTGCACTTACAAAATCACAATTATATAATTAATTAAGGTTGATGATATTGATTTTATATTTTATTTGTTACATTCGGATACAAAAAGAAATCGAGATGCCGGGATCATAGCCATTAAGCGTTGCGAAATATAAGAGTGTGCAACCAGTGGTGGATCTAGGATGTGGTGGATTTTTTTTGAAGGGAGAAAACATATATTTATTACGTTATTTTATTATTCACACCATATACTAACACATCTGATTGGACATGGGGGTGAGGGGACAGGCACCTTTGCCCCCTTCAATCTTTTTCTGTGTGCAACAAACAAGGTACAAACTGAGACTGTTAAAATAATTTAAAAGTCGTTGTAGGTGAATTATCTAATATTATACATATAATAATATTAAATAATTTTATTATATTATATTATTAATCAGAGGTATTCAAACTGTGTGTCGAGACTCAAGGCTCTCAGGGGTGTGGTGGGGTTGACGAAAGGAGCCTCGTCAAATAACCGGAAATCAAAATTAATATATGCAATATAATATGATAATTATAAATATTATTTATAATCATTATAGCGATTATGGAAAGGATAATGAAACACACGCAACCATTTGAATTGGTTTTCTTTGTATTACTAATAATAAGTTATTATTATTATCACCCGTATTATATATCTGCGTATCGTTAAAATTTTGTCTTAACAAATTGAGAGCCATCGAAATATTGTGAACACACAAAAAAGTCGCTGGATGAAAAATGTTGAATACTTCTGCAATATATTAATACAATATATTTATATTAATTTATCAATTTGAACCAAATATATCATTAAACTATAGGTACAAATCAGGAGTAATCGTTATTGTATGTTCTACATTTAATTTTAGTCTTAAAATAGATATCTCCTCTTAGTTTTGTCTAAGAATTTATATGTGACAATTTTAGTGTATACACAGTTTTTGATTTAGACTTTTATCGATTATATAATAATATGTTTATCCTTCTATATTATATCTATTTACAAATTAAATTCGCTTAACTTTAATGTTTAAACATTAACAAGGAAAAATTTCTCATACAATTTCGAATTCCAATATCAAACACAATCACTTTAATAGGTAATAAAAATATACTATTTAATTCAGCACAGATTTATTCATTTAAAATTGTATCATTAAAACATTAGAAGATTTCACTTGTATAGTTTATATTTTATATTATGGCAATGAGTCAGTCAGAAAATATAAAAGAATCGAATTGGTAGGTAAGATACGACATAAATTTTGCTTACTGAATAATTTATTTATTTAAATATAAAGAAACTTATGATACAAAATAAATATAAATAATTTTTTACGATTTGTGTTGACTATACTAATGTTTATCAGGAAATTGGACTTGGAGAAGCAGACACACATTTCAAAATTTCCATAATTAAATCACAAGAAGAGATACAAAATATACCTTATCTAGAAGAAAACAAAACATAGTACAATTAACCGAAATAATTTATGATAAAAATTACATTTACAAGAAGATTTCATGAAGATATTATTTGCAAAATATAAATGTTGACGTAAAAAAAATCTATTTTATATATTATCTGGATGCACATAATTATTATTTCTAACATGATAATAATATATACCTATAGTGAATATTTCATTAAAATGCAAACTAGGGGATATGAGTTTAAACATAAAATTCTTAAATACATAACTAAACTCATTCTTCGAAGTTAAATATAATTTTGTATGGTAATAAGTTTGGTAACATATGAAATGTAAACTAATATAAGTATTTCTGGAATAAACTAGAGTGAATTTACGATAAAATTGAAGTGAATAAATTTCTTCCTTTCATTGGCATAGAGTATGTACACCATTTTATTTTATTGATGTTTGAAAATAATTCTTTTTATATTATTATACTCGTGTTATCGTCGGTACTTGACACTTCCCCTGTTACTTTTGTGTATCGAAAATTACGTTTTATTTTGGCATTCCCTTAGGAAATAACCGGCTTGCTCTCGCGTTATTATTTATTCAAAAGCCAAAAACGAATATGTTTTTCCTTTTCTGGCTCCCATTCAACTTTCAACAATATATTTATTATGCGATTTAACAAAACTCTAGAGCAATTATCCGACATAAATGCCCTTTTGTTTGTCGCCCAACAAACTTTGCGCCAAAAATAATACATTTGTTTGCTGAGCACTATATTTACAACGATTTTAATTGGTTTCAAAACAAATTTGTTCACTTACAATCAATAATATGTAAATACATTTTAAAAAAAAGGAAATACTTATAGGTATAACATTATATATATAAATAACATGACTTATCTTATTTCTTCTAAAAGATTTCACTGTAAATGGTTGTAGGTACTACCATAAAATCTAACAGAATGAAACATTGGTAAAAAAAATACTTATATTCAGTATATTCACTATTATTTGATTTATCTTGATGTGTAATTGGACTAGGTATTTGGTATTTGTTTGAATTTAAATATTAATAAAATAAAATATACTAACATAAAGGTAATTGTGATTGGACATATTGAAATATCTCTTTTGAAGGCCATTGAACTCGGCTTTTACGTAAATAGGGGAGCGTTATAAGCCCCAAAATTACTCGTATTCAAAGGGGGATGATACACCTCCGTATAAGAGCAGGTTTGCCAATTTAAAAAGGGGTATTTTTCCATTATTTTAACATAAGTAATACATTTAGTATCATTAAAATATGTATTAATCACAAAAAAAATAAATATGTAGCTATCATATTTGTATACAAAATGAATTGTTTTGTTTTATTTTAAATATTACATTTATGAATTCATTGTAATAATAATTATAAAGAACATTTCATAATATTTTAAATGGAGATTGCCTCAGACAAACGTTCGTAATAATATATCAAGACAAAATATTCGTAGAGTATTATTATTGTAGATATTATTCATATAAGAATATTATGGTAATTGAAAAATATTAAAAACATGAGAAGATTACTGAAAAAACTACTAAAGTAAGAAAAAGGTAGGTAGGTATTGTAAAATGTAAATTGTGTTTATTTTCTATTCATGTAATATTTTACGACAGAAAATAAACTATTTTTGTTATTTGAATAACATGTACCTACCTACCTACATTTCTATATAATATAAGTTTTTATTATAGAAAATGTTTTATGTACAAATAAGATACGCGACTATTATATTACATAAAAGCGGCGAATCAATGTACGCACATAAATCAGCAACGGAACCAATTTTTTTTTTCGTTTAGTGGAGACAGGTGAAGAAACCGTGCCAATA